GGGTTGGAAAGAACCACTCACCTTTTTTTTTTTAAAGGGGGGGGGGGCATAATAAGGAAAAAGAGAAAAAAGTAATGGGTAAGATTGGTTAACAATGAGTTCAGTAGAAATACACAGTTACAGCTAAGATAGCCTCCTAGCATGTGTGTCAGTTGTGTCAGAAGTGGGAAAGATTGAATAACCCATGAAGAGGATCTGATAGTCCTTCTCAGTATGTTTCATGCTGTTTATTTGTTTGGTTAATTCGCCTTTAATAGGGCTATGTTAAATAAAATAAAATAATCCAAGAACCAAAACTTGCTAAGGTGAAAATTTAATTAGAATATTTATCGTTTTAAATCTCATTTCACATATGTTAGCTAAATAATAATTTAGATCAGACGTGGCAATTCATTCGATACATGTGAATTTAGTGCTGTTATTATTTTTTTAATCAAAATTTTTTTCACGGACAAAGACGAAATCGCTAAGGATCATTTTTTATTTTAGAAAATTAGAAGCTCATGAAGCGACCTCACCGAAGAGATACACCAGCAGGCGGTCTGGATGCGCATCGCACGGTGATCTTTTAGGATGTTGAGTTCCCCTCTTTTTTTTCACGTCGCCTAGGTAATTTTTCGAGCCTTGTACTGGATCGAGGGCGTGAGGTTCTGTAAATTCACTCCCCTGAGTTCCTCAGCAAGGATGGAAATCGTCTCACGCATGCACGCCTATCATAAACGATCCTCTTTGCTAAAAATAATATTAATAACCCTCCAGTATCCTGAACACGTCCACCTCGCGAGGTAAGAGGATTTCGTTATGGGGTGTAAAGAACTTGTGGTGCGCACGAACTTCTCGCTGATGACGGTGAGGGGATTGTCATGTAGGTTAAAGGGGAAGACCCCATCCTCGTACGTCTTCTTTGAGTTTTGTGGAAGGCTAAACAGGGTCATTCTGAACTGAAGGAGGGTGGCTAATACAGAAAAGGGTTGAGTATTTAACCACAGAAGGGTGGATTAGATGGGTGAATGGGGTTTGGACGATTCGAAAAAGTATCACACTAACAGAACAGCACCCACCAGAAGAAAGAGAAATACCCACTTAACCATATTCTAAGTTGGTGTTTATTAAATTATGATACACGTTCTGCTTTAATATAGATTAGAAATTGCCTGAAAGGGCGCCAAAAGAGCGTATCCCAATGAGGGGGATAATTTTAAACGGAGGAGAAATGTGCACTTAGATAATAAGAGTATTGACATTTTTCCCCTATGAATCATAGAGACAAATGGAGAAAAAGGTAGAACACCATACAAGCACATATATATTTATATCGATATATAAAAGAGATTATGGAAAAGATGAGAGTTAACTATGTGATCGAATGCAAAATACAAGGATGAACATAAAGAGGACATTTTTTTAACCGTACCCCATAATATGATCGCATCATAGCTCTTTGTACTCATTATTATCTCGACGCAATTATAATACAAATGATAAATGTGATGTGAAAAACAGCACTAGAAAAAAAAGTGTAAACATTTTGTAAGATTAAATTGTTTATATCCATATTTTAGAGATGACCAAATGCAGAGGGTTAAGCGAACTACTCTGTAATTATGTAAACCGATTTCAGAGCTTTAAAGATAGAATAGCTGTTGTATATTTACTTATACAATCCACAAAAGAGTTAAAAAGATCCTAAGATTAAATTTCGATTTATAGAGAAAAGCTCATAATGGATAGTAAGACCAGTAATAAACACAAAATATAATGAATAGAGATCTAATCAGTGGATGAAAAAAAGGGAAAACTCTCGAGATAACGCTTGGATCAATTCCTTTTGAAATTGTGCATATACACATCTATTCTATTCACATAAAGTACGAGGAATATAGAAATCGCTCTCGTTTTCTTTTGAGGTTAACATTTAGCATATTTAGTTGCTTTATTACCGTCAAAGCATCTTTACTATTTTTTTACGTGCACAAAACGATTAGAGATAAATGTATAGACCTGAAAAGGATCTGTTGGAATTGAACCCAACGTAGGGAAATTTAAGGAAAACAAGTAAACAGTAAACAATATAGGAAGACACCATGGGGCTGGAAAATACTCAAAAAAGGGTGAAAGAAGGGAAATGATAGCACCAAACCTAATCATGCCCCCTTACTCCCTTCCCTCAAAACGGCTTATTTGCCCGATTTGCTCTACATACTCACAATTCATTAGCGAGTGATTCTATATTTGAAGATAGTTGTGGAAAATATAATAATATATATATGTATATATATATATTAATAGATACATATACACAGACGTAGGTGTGTGGGATAACTCATTGCAAGAATTGGCAATTTTGAAAAAAATATGAAAGAGAATTCATCACTGACCTTTAATTCTTATAGCATTATCAATATATTATAATTTATGTACCAAACTCTATTTGTGTAATGAATAGCATTGCAAAAACATTCACAGTTCACTTCATCGCACTATTCAAAGGAAATTAATGACTACCCAGTGAAAGTAAGATCGATGAGGATTACTTAAGAAAGAACAAAAAGCATCCATATGTCTTTGTTATGCAGCTATTTTACTCTTACACGCACACCCAAAAGCATAAAAAAATATTAAATACATTAGACTCAATCCTTATTTTTCTTTATGCTCACTTCCACTACTTACATTAATAGCATATCATAGTACAATGACTCTTTAGATAAAACGAGAGGGTGGACCAAGTGTTAACGAGCCACTTCCCCATTGATTTCCTCTGGATTAGGAAACTATAATCCTTTAAGTTCCTCATGACAATATTCCTCTAATTTTTTTGACAGCGTTTCTTCTCCCGTTCTTGTAAGATGTATTCGTATGTCGTCATTTTATTAATAATAAGCATGACATGAAACCCTAAGAGATAGATCGCTGGGATCACGCTGAGAAGCGTGATCCCAGCCAACAGAATCGACGTCACGGCAAAGTACCAATGCCTCGCGGTGATCTCTTTCCACCAGCGCAGCATCAACATCAGGTCACTCATCAGCGTCACACCCATCAAAAAGATCGCCGAAATAAGATAAAGAAGAAAAAGCCGGTAGTTCTTCGCCCCGATGCACATGTTCAGCCACTTACAATGGTGATCAAACCCAGTGATGCACTTGTTACAGGCCTTGCAGTGCTTGGACTCCGCTTGGGTGTCACGGCTGCAGTAGACACAGTACTCCCCCACCCCCTCCACATCCCCGTTCTCCTTGAGTGAGACCCACAGCCAGGTCATAACGTAGCACAGAACTCCAAGGGACTCCGCCACGGTCAGGCCCACCAGCTCCCCCAGACAGCCTCGATAACGGCCGTGGGTGTAGAGCACGGCGTAGGCCGTGAAGACGTTCGTGTAGAACAGCCCCATCCCAAGAATCATTAACAGCACGGCAATGAGCTGAAACTGATGAAGAGGACGCGCAAAGGCGTGGGTTCGCGGGTTCTGCATCTGCCACCCGTCCGGATCGCGGTGGTCTACACATAACGCCAGGCAGGGCTTCCCGATCACGCTCGATGTGGTCTCGTTGTAGTTGCTGTCACTGTCCGTGCTTCTTTTGCTGTTTGCGCGCACCGTTTGAAGAACGGGAGTGATCGGGCGGGGGTTGGAATAGGCCGCGTTGGGGGAGGTATAATTGGCCGTCGCGTGAAGGGGCTCAAGCAGACGGGGCGAGTTTCGTATGCTGCAGCCCACGTCCTTCTCGAGGGGTGGAAGGTCGATGGGGTGATATTTTCTAAATTCGTGCTGCCCTACGACCCAAGAGGCGTCTAAAGCCTCGCAGACCCCTTCCCTATTGGGGTTTCCTTCGACAGGATTACCCCATGCCGCAGCGTGCTTGGTGTTCAGACTGTGGCCAGGAACCTGAATCCATCGGTCACGGGAAGATCCCCTCTCCCCTTTATCCCTGGTGGGTGATAAACTTTCTGAAGAATAGCTTTCTTGATAATAATTGTCTACAAAATACTCTAGATGAGGGTCAGCTCGAGTGCTCGTGTCGTCTTCCCAAGGGTTTCCTACCTTCGCTGATTCTCCCAAGTGGGGATTGACCGATAGGCTGGTATGAATACCGTCGGGAGGTGGTGGACTTCGCCGTTCGGTTTTCTCCATTTCAACGGGTTTGTTAAGAGGGAGAGACCCGACGTGTCCCTTCGTTTTCCCACCACCTCTCCCCTTTTTATCACTGTCCAAACGAGGAGAATTTGGAGAGATCAAAGAAGTACGATCGGCCCACTTCATTGTCAGGGAAACAGAGGAAGTGGGGGACTTGTGATTCAATTGATTCGTGGAAATAACTACGGATGACCCAGCTCCTCTGCTGGACACCGAATCCAGAGTTTCGGCAAATAAAGGCGTAGTGAATCCCTGGTGTTTGGATTGGTCCCTCTCTGTCGATCGATTTTTGCGTGTTGTTTTGACCACTTTTGACTCCCTATAATGAGGCTTCCGATGAGGGGACAAATTCTCCTGGGATTTCTTCAAGAGAGTGGGAGTGAGGTGTGGAATATCACTCCTTTTTTCAACGTCGAACTCATGGGTGTGGGAGACCGTTTCAACAGGATTATTCACGCCGTTATTACGTTGGCGGCAACTACTTGCGTTCTCCTCCACGTTGCTTTTCTTTATTATCAGCTCAACGTGTGTGGGTTTATTGGACTGCTGCTCTAATTGCATTCACTTTTTGATTATTATTTTTTTTCACACCAAAAGGATCGACGTAAAAAAATAATCACTTTCCTAAGAGAAATTTGCTTGTTAAAAGAGCCCTAATTCAGCATTGCACCAGTAAATATAAAAATGGAAATAGAGAAACATAATTTTTCTAAAGGGAAAAATACTGTTAGAATACTCTTCTCAAGTCAATACAGCGCGTTGGTGAGATCTCCTCAAATAGAAAAACAACCGATGCACATCTTATTTCTTATTATTCGGTAATGAAAATTTGTACGTGAAGTCGAGCAGATTATGCGAGATGAGGGGATGAAGTAAATGACCAAAATAAAAAGTAAGTGTTACCACTGCACAACATTTAAACGGATTTTTTGACGTTGTCACCCTTTTTTCGTCGTTGTAATTTTATTTCCTTTCCACAGTAGATAGATGCCACATTGTCCCTACGTATGAAAATGGATTAATTCAGTCTCCTAATCACCACTTCGAAGGCCAACAGCACCTCACAATGTCGGGTCACTTTTGCTTGTGTTCTCAAGGGAAAGGGAGGAACGCACCAAACGATCCAGGGGCTCTCAGAATGTATTTACCACTGTTTGCGTACATTCAGTAACAAACAGTTTGAAAAGGGGAGTCCAGGGAAGGGTGTCACGCCCCATTTCCAACTGTGGTCTTTCTTCACAATAAAGTGGTGGAATAAGGTTGAGTGAAGTCGCCAAAAGCCTAGAATCTCATCAATAACCTATCTGATACTGCAGTCATCATGCAACCTCGCACACACATCAGATGAAAAGTAATAACTCAAAAGAAAACTAAGAAGTTGCCATTAAAAATGTGGTACAATTTTAAGACTCAAGGTCCTTTTCTATAAGGTAGGGTGTACATAGCTATATATTAATATTCTTTGATTGCGTTACTTTGCACTTATGAAATTTAGGGTATCGGTCAGCTTTTCCAAGAACAATACCCTAAACGTTAGCTGCACATTTGTGTAGAAAGAAGTGGATGATAAAATCGCATACTACACTCTAAAAGCAAGCAAGAAAGGAGAAGGAACCTCAAAAGAATTCTAAATGTTGAGTGTATAACCAAAATAAATGAATAAAATATATTAGTCAGAGATATAGAAAAAACCCTAGTTTTTTTATTGATCATCTCTATCTCACCAAGCATTATATTTTCAATCTTATGTTAGCTTCACCATTTGAATCTTCAACATAGAAATACACATCATTACTACTTAGAACCTTTTTTTAAATGAAACACAAATACTCCTCGTGTTTCGCATACCAATGTAAACCAACCCCATTCTCACCCTACAATCGAAGCATACTACAAATATGGTGATTTTGCCAAAAACACAAATCTAATGTTATGAAATCGATTCTCACTTCATGTATAAGCGCAACTGGGCCAAATAATTAAGAAATAATATTGAACTTGTGAAGTGGAGATCCTGAATATGATTTCATTTTTTAAATGATTAAGTATAATGTTAGTTTAAAAGCCCATAATACAACTTTTTAATAGAATCTTGATTTGAAAAAAAAAGGCCTATCGTCTAGAGTATATCACATTAATATTTTCTATACACAGACACCTTCTTGTAGTTTTCAATATTATCTTCATCAAGCCTGTGCCACATAAGAACCCATTCTTCGAATCTTCTATTTTCTTTGTGCACATTTTGGCCCTTGAGTTTGAGTATGACATTATTAGCTAAAATTTCCTTTAGTCCTTGTGGAAAATAATCCTTTGCGTTTCCAGCAAGGTTATGACGCAGTCACATGCCCTGAGAAGCCTGCTCACCTGACACTAAACATCAACCATCCCAATTATCCATCCATATGGAGATATATCGGTCGGTGTGTCGTCGTGAAAGCCCCCTTTGTCGCGCGTGGATCCTGCCACCCCATTTCACGCCTCATTCCTTC